GCAGGTGCGGCATGAGAGGAGGAGAAGAGACTGACGTCACGGAGTCCATTTCACTTGGATTCATAATCAGCGCACACAGAGCAGCAGTCAGGAAATAAGTGGTGGATGGCATGGGGCACATCTGCGGCATGAGACCTCGTTAAAGTGCTCAGGAGCAAAGGTGTCAGTTTGAGCACTAGGGTGCACCTGACCCAAGCCGTGGGCTTTTCAGTCGCCTCACAGGCATGTGAAAGCTGGGCAGTGACTAAGGAAGACTGAGATTTAATGTCTGTAAAGTGTACAGACTTCCAGAAGAAGGAACAGATCTGTTTGGAAAAAGTACAGTCAAAATGCTCCTTAGACGTGTGAGGATGGAGAGACTTCATCTCATGGACCTGGGACATATCATCAGGAGGGACCAGTCCCTGGAGAAGGACATCATGCTTGGTAATGTGGAGGGTCAGCCAAAAAGGGGAGACCTCCAGTGAGATGGATTGATACAGTGGCAGCAGCAATGATTGTATAGATAGTATAGATGTTCTGTTCTGTGTTAGAAGTCAAACAGTACTATAAAAGTCATAGCAATCTTTACTAAACAATATCACAATGTGAAGCTGTTGTTTCTCAGCAGATCTTCCATCTAGGTCCATACACATCTGCAGGTGGTGTTTTATCTCTGTAACCCTTCCCCAAGGCAGTGCAGTGGTCCTACAGGATAAACACTGGACTGTGAACCTCAAGGTCTACAGTTAGATCCCACCAGCTGCTCCGTGGGAGAAAGATACGGCTTTCTGCTCCTGTAAGGATTTATAGCCTCAGAAACCCTCTGCAGAGTCACTATGAGTCGGAACCAGCATGATGGTACTTACCGACAACAGCACTTCCCAGAAGAACTATGCGCTTCAGTTTACACATCAGAACAGCAGCTTGGGCATCCTCAAGGGACTCAAATCATGTTCCTTCTAAATGTTCTTTAAGTTTTCAGAACAAAAAGACGGCTGAGTGGGCCAAGATCAGGACTGTAGGGTAGACGGGATCTGGTTTATCCACGGAATGTTTATAGGACGGCTCTTGGAGAACGAGCAGGTGCAGCATCACGATGGAAAAATTCTTGGGCACAGCTTTGCTGGCTTTTTTCCCACAAATGCAGTTTTCCGTTTTCCTCAAACTTCTTCCTAGAACGCCCCCATGATTGTCTTGTGCCCTTAGAGAAAAATCTATCAAAATGATGCCTTTGCAATCCCAAAGCAGAGTTTCAATAACCTTCTGTACTGACCTCCCTGCCTTGAATTAAACAGGCCCAGCCGAGCTCCTCGGGAAGCCACTGGTTTGATTGGGACCTTCTGTTTGAAGGCACCCTGAGGAGACGAAGACAGGTGTAGAGCTGAGAGAACGTGTCTGCTGCCGTCCATGGATCGCAGACCTGCACAAACACATTTTGTTTGGAACAAACCCCGGTGTGTGTGAGCTGGAGCCCCGAGCAGCAGTACTCTTTGACTTAACATGGGGTCATACCTCGCAACCGCAACAACTACCTGATCAGTATAGGGTGTTCGGACGTACATTTCAGGCAAAAGCTGCTCAAACACATAGACCACGAGTAGGCATCTTTAGCAACCAGAAACCTATCTTCTCATGGTTTTGTTGTTGTTGTTAGGTGCCATCGAGTCGGTACCAACTCACAGCGACCTTATGCACAGCA